CGGACGTGTCCCAAATGTCACCGAAGCGTTTTGGCACATTCCGAATGTTTGTCTTCCGAACGGAGATGCCACCTGAAAAAATATGTCAGGAATATATACATATGATGATTTCAAAACGATATCTTGCCATGTTTGGGTTCCATGCCTACCTCACATGTCTATTGCAGGCCATTTCAATCACTACGAAAGATCCTAGTGGCTAGTAGTTCCAGTAAGGTAGATTTCATGATAAGTGTAAATCCCCTACGAAACCATGGTTTCTGGGGGGTGCTTAACATGGGGAGCTTGGGGATTACGCCATTGCAATTTTTACAAGGTCCGTCACTAGGATGATACCTGAAAATTCCACACAAAGTGCAGCTGTTGGCGAAATACCCAAGGATTAAACTGATTAAACCAATTTGACTGGTGAAATATGGTGAAATACTTGATCCAGATGGTACCCGGCCTGGTAAACTTACACTTTGCGAACTTGAAAATTGCCCAGTCGAAATAGTGAGTTTTCCCATTAATAGCATGGTGATTTTCCATAGTTACGTTAGTTTACCAGATGGTCCCCAGGGTTGTTGGTAAATATACATCCCTGGTGACCGTGGTGAACTACCCCCGAATGATCCCTTCGCCGTGTTTAGCCCGCTTTAGACACACAGCCATTCATATCTGCTGCTTATATTCCTAACATCCGATGCACATTTTTCCATTCATATCCCATGAAAACTACAGGATGGGGCCCCATAGTTACTGTAGCTAAGTTGGTGCAAATAACTATAATAACCATAGTGTATGATACTTATAACTATATTTGGATGGGGTTGTAAACGAACTTATAACTGGAGGGCCCCATCCTGTAGCCTTTCCACTCGCGGGCAGTTGATGTCCACAATTTGTGGATTTTCCAACGAAGGTGATGCCCCAGTGCCTGGTCCTCGCATCGGCAAGGGGTCGATTCAATGCCCGCATCACAGAGGCACGCGCCAGGTGGAACCTTGGTCCGGCTGACGTTGCTTTCAGGTTGCTGGATTTATGTCAGATACACATGTTTTGCTTTCTCAAAGCACTTCTAAGTGGGGGACACAGATGCATTTTTTCTTGAATCATTTCACTTTCTTCAGTTGGTTTTAAACTAACTAAGAATTGAGTTGAATCATTTACTGGTATGTTTGTCCTTCCATTTTTTGGGGGTGTACCCTATTTCAGGAGGCCGAGATTTTGACCAATGTCCATTTTTGTATGTTGGAAGCATGCCAAGTATCCCTTGATGTGATACATATGTACATACTGCATGTGCACGTGTACATATATATATATATATACATATATTAATAGACACAATTCTACACATACATAAGTTACATAAGTGTAAGGTGTAAATTGGGATACATTTTTTTTTTAAGACCACAAAATCCAAGCTGCAGACTGTCAGGAATTCTCTCGTGAGATTTTCATCTTGATCCAGCCCGAGACTTCACTGGATAATTGTAAGATTGTAGTGTGCTCAATATGTGCGTACATGTATTCATATGTACATGTATGATCATATGTATATATATATACATATACTATATATACGTATACATGCCAGATCCCAGAATTTTAGATTTGGAACAGGGCAAGTGCTGATTCAGAGCAAGCCCAAGCCCGGTCTCAAATCTTGGAAGTCTGAACGAATTGATGCAACAGAAATGTAGCTAGTCTGCGTATTCTATCGACCCTTCTATACTGTATATATGTACGGGTAGATACACAGATAGATAGGTATATCTAGATTAGGTAGGTCAGGTAGGTAGACAGATAGATAAAGAGATCATTTTCTATACACATGTAGATACCCTCTGGTAATTTAACGTAGCTATGGAAAATCACCATTTTTAATGGGAAATTCCACTATTTCTATGGCCATTTTCAATAGCAAACTGTTGACATAACCAGAGGGTAATTTTCTATATACATGTAGATAGGTAGATAGCTATATACATGCATAGATGCAAAGATACTGCAAACTCTGAGTGTGTTCACCATCGTTCATAGGATGCCGCTCTGGTCAAAGCGTCTTGCCTCAAGCGGAGAGTGGAGAGTGTGGACAATGGGATACATAGCTACGGTATGTAGAATATGTGTATATATATATATATATTATATATGTGTATCCATATTTATATCTTAATCTATATCTGTATGTGCATATACATCCACATGATATATAATTATATATATATATATAATTACATATATTATATTTATACGCTTATATATATATATATGTATATTTCACAATAAGGATAGATTAGATTAGATTCGATTCAGATTAGATTTAGATTTAGATTTAGTTTTAGATTTAGATTTAGATTTAGATTAGATTTAGATTGTTAGAGAGATAGATAGAGAGATAGATAGATAGATAGATAGATACACGCATTTTCCACACATCTATCAGCCTATCGCAATCAAAGCGGACACTGGAAAATGACTTGTCGGAAATCGGAAAATCAGACAAGCCAGATTCTACCAGCTTTGTGAAAATAACGAGCTACCAGATTCTATAGCTATGTTTGTCTACCAGCTTCGTGTCTAATGGGGGAATTCACGATGTTCATGTTCAATTTTCCCGAACGTTGTAGATATGGCCCATTTGGCGTTGGGTCGACTAAGTCCTGTCAAGTGCTCACGTGGGAAAGTCTTTTCGTAGCTCCAACTGGCTCCGAACGTTGAATAGGTAATACCCTCTGGTAAACGTACAAAAAACGATGGAAAGATCCACCATGCTATGAATGGGAAAAGCCACTATTTCGACTGGGCATTTTTCAATAGCTATGTTAAATTACGGGTACAATGGGAGGAGGTTGCATGAGAGATTGTTGCCAGTCCATATTTCCCATCCCATGATAAAGAGTTTGATCAGGTTTGATCAAAGAATTGCAGAGGCTACAATATGAAGTACCCTCTGGTAAACTTACAAAAAACTATGGAAAATCACCATTTTCAATGGGAAAATCCACTATAAATGGTCATTTTCAATGGGAAAATCCACTATTTCTATGGCCATTTTCAATAGCTATGTTGACATAACCAGAGGGTAATATGGATAGTGAATCTCCGTAGCTCCGGAAAAGAAAAACAAAACTCCGATCCACTGGGGGATCCTGATCCGTGATCCGGGGCAACAGATGATCCAAAAATGTCATCCATAATGTCAGTCAGAGTGCTTGTTATAAATTAGTGTTATGAGTTATTGTTATATAACAATACTAGAAACAAGTCAATAATTCTTGTCACATGTCACAGTCGTAATGCTTCGTAATGAAGAGATTTCCGGTAGAGACAGTCCCCCTCTTTTGATGATGCCTCGCTGCAGTGTTTCCGTTGGAATCCCACAAAAGGTTTCCCAGAGAGCTAAGCGACTGATGACTGGACAGCATCATCCAGAGATGTTTGGTCTGAAGGACGTACAGCTTCCCTGGGACGGCTTTTTTGGGCGGCAATTTTTTGGGGAATTGGGCAGGTGAAGAGCAGTTGTACACCACAACACCAGGTGAGAAAACCTGAAGGCCTGAAGCAGTTCCATGTCATGCTGCTTAAAAAAGCCTTGTCGATTTAAACCTTAGGAATATATGTTCACAATATATGAGTGGATGTGTTTTCCAGAACAAAGGTGGATAAATCGGACCCTACCAACTAGAAAGAACGGCAATTTGACCAACCGAAGGTTTTTTTGTTCGATTCCGACTGTGACAGGCCATTGTTTGGTTCAATCAGTGTGAGCCATGTCCACATGGATACCCTCTGGTAAACTGCCACATAACTATGGAAAATCACCATGCTATTCATGGGTAAATCAACTATTTCTATGGGCCATGTTCAATAGCTATGTTAAATTACCAGAGGGTACCCTGCTAGACCAGTTGGCTTTGAACTGCTCTTTTCATCTTTTTTCCACGACTGTGTTGAAAACCTGCTGACCTGTGAAAAATCTGCTGAGACGTCCTGCCTGCGGAACAAGAGGTTAAGGACTCCTCAAAGTGCCTCAGCCCAAAGGATCCCCAAAACGGGATCCCAAGGTGATTTGCCAATGGGCTTTCTATATGGGGATGGGTCAAAACCTGGTTTTTCGTGGTGAACATCAGCTGGGATTTTTTTTTGTATTGATCCATAGCCTATATCATGTTCCCAATGAATGGGTACATTATAGGTACTATATGGATTCAATCATGGGTATTTATAGGTATTATCCATACTTAATGTTCCGGATTCTTCCCATATCATTATAATTAATATTATAATCAAATGATTGAATCCATAGTTCAAATATCTTCAAATCCCATGGGAACTCTGTAGAAACATCAAGAAACATCGAATCTCATGGCTACGGATGGTTCTTTTTTGGCTCCCATGAATTACCAGTCAGCTTTGAGTACCTGACTCCTTCAACCCGAGCATGGGACCCATGGGATACAAAGACAGACCCATGTTACCCGAGAAAAATAGGTGCCAAGGTCTGACCTACATCCATGTGACCGGAAGAATTCATCTTGGCCACTTTTTTGTTGATCCTCTGCACTGGAAACCCATGGTAGGATATCTTGATTTCTGGGAACAGATAAAATTCAGTCTAATGCTTTATGATTGATTAGACTGCCACATCATTGACCAAACAATCTGCTATCTATCTAACTTTTCTGGATCCTCAGCACTGTACAAATCGGGTTTTTGCAGCCTCTGTGGTCGTTTTGGTTTTGGTTTGAAAGGATGAAGTCGTTGAATGCCCAAACTGCAAGACTTTCCATCTTGGAACAATCTTCGAATTTCAGCGAAGCACCGTTCTGAAAATTAGAAGCTGATCCTCGTGAAGAATTTTTAATTAGCACCCTTAGATGTATTTGACATCTGTCATTTATTTTTAAAGCTGTGACGATCGTCCCTTTTTTCATCGAAATCTCCCATCATTTCAACACTGTCCGCGGCTTCACCCCTTTTCCTTTCCGAAAAGGCGAAAAGGACCGTGCTCAGAAGGCCCCATAGTTGCTGTGGTTATGTCCACCGAACAGGGCTTCAGCCGGGCCCACATAGTCAGACCTGCCAGCTGTGCTTGGAGCGATGCTTGGAGTGGTGCAGCAGCCAGTTGGTTTGTGGTTCATAACTCAATGTGGTTATCTTGGATTTGCTTAAGGGAGCCCCAAAAAATAAGAAATATTCACTTCATCGATTCCCAAGTCATGGTGGATTTTTCATTGGGAATATAAAAATCACCGACTAAACAAACCCAGGTTGATGGTTCTAGTCCATTTAAATGGGATGCCAGCTGCATATCGCTGATGAAAACGCTGATGAAAACGTTCTGAAAACCACATCCATACTGCGATGCACATCCCAATGGTTCCTTAAAATGATGGAAAATTAGGACAACCAAATGGTGGCAGATCGCGAAACCGCTCCAATTTGCTGCATGACACCTGCTGGCACGGCTCCTTTCGTACATCTCCGGGAGTGAAGACTTCAAGTTCACCTGGAAGCTTGGACACCTTCGAAGAAGTGACTTGCCAAAGATCTTCCACGTCCCCATCGGTCCTAAATTGATATGTATCATATGTGCACATATACACCTGAAGTGTGTATTCTTCAAAATGTCAAACGCGGTCAGGCCCACCCCCAGATAATTCGCACTTCAATAACCCGCTTTCTTTGGGATGTTGTCCTTATGATTGTTGCTGAGATGTACATTCATTGACCCCATTTCTGTTGGTAATAACCGTTCCCAATAAAGCACAAAAACAAGTTTGCAGATTATTGGCCTGTTGAAACTGGTGAAACTTGATAGCCATAGTAGAATAGTAGATTACCAGAGGGAAGTTCCAAGTTCCTGCAGTATTTTCTAAGTTACCTAGCATCGTCCAACCTTGGATGCCCATCACCTTTCTATCATCATGATCAGCCTGATGTACCCTCTGGTAGACCAACATAGCTATGGAAAATCACTAGTCTTAATGGCTAAATCCACGAACTTTCGACTGGGCCATTTTGTTCAAGTTCGCAACCTGTTTCTACGTTTACGATCGGCCGGGTAGTTGTGGAAAATAACCCAGGTCAACTCGCGTTGCGAGTCTCATGATTCTCCCATGATATCGCCTTCATGTCCTCGCACAGAGACCACACGGCGAAGATGAAGTAAGCCTCCACAGCAGCCAACTGACCTCAGTCTAAAATTAGCTGCGGGATCCCTATAAAAATGGTGATTTAACCACCAGACATGGGGATAGATCGGATAGATCTAGAAATATATATATATATATCATTATATCATTATATATTATAATGGGGATACTAATGGGATATTCATTTTTATCGAGGTGCCAGTTGTTTCTTCTTGGGATGTGTTCCTCTATCATGTGCTTGGGAAAAAAATGGCTAGCTCCCAATCGCTGCCTCCCAACCAACATGACAGTCTTTTGGGATCATCATCCCATAAAGGATGGAACATGATCAAGCTTACAGCCACCAACATAGGCTTAAAAATGCTGAGTTTTTGAGCCAATGGAGCCCAGGTGAATGGAAATCAAGCCTTGGGGCATGTAGATGGTGGGTACAATCGACTAGACTCGTGAGTATAGCATAGCATAGCATAGTATAGTATAGTCTGTACAGTATAGTACAGTATAGCATAAACATGTATAAACCAACAATGATGATCTTGTGTGTGTTCCCGAAACGTAAACACGCAAAAAATCAGTCGCCTGATGGTCTGTCGCCTAAACGGGTCCAGGGTCAATGGGTCAATCCATCCATCTTGTCTCAGGGGCACTCAGTGCTATACAAGGTGGGGCCCCCAAGATAGCGTGAACCGTTGGTTTAGAAGTGGCTGAATTCGCTGGTTTATGGTAGATATAACGAACTAGTATTCATGGGGAGTATTTCATGGTTTATAATTTATAAACCAACTTATAACTGAGGGGCCCCATCCTGTAACGTCTTTCCTATTTCGTCAAATCAACTGAACTTCTGCGAAAGTGAAGATGCCACAGACAAACCCCAGAATAGAGCACTCAGGGAAGAATCACAAGCAAGACTGGTATTTGGTTGCTAAAATCCATGGTTCGTCTAGGTTTGCCCAGAAACAGGAAAACCCCATGCCATCCGCAGGGTTCATCGACATATTCGCAGTTGTATCCCTCGAATATCCCATCAAATCTCCCAAGTATAAGTCATTTCCCCAGAATTTCCCAGAGAAATCGAAGGGGAAAAAACCATATAAGGTAAGGCCCCCCAGGTAATTTTGATGGTTTATAATCCCCCTAACTATAGTTATATCATGTTATATCCCCATCAACCATATTTCACCCAGTCATGTGAGTCAAGTTAGCTATCTAAGTCCCATGAAATCACCCTTTTTTGCTGAGCAAAGTCGGGATTCCCTAAGGCCGCGCCCTACTTGGTGGCTCATCCCACTTAGTAAGTGGGTTATAACCCCAGTTATAAGTGGATTAACCCTACTTATCCCATGTAAATCACTGGGGTTATAACCCACTTACGATTCGCGGGATGAGCCACCAGGTACCCCCATTCATCAGCATCGGAGCCGAAAAAGACCACGAAGAGCACCCGAATGAAGCCGCAAGCACCGGCGGCCCCCGTGGCTTTGAGGCCTCCAAGGGTCGCCCTTTGCAGGGTGTTTTTTGGGAGGGAAAACTCCATGGATGTTGACCTGCCAAAGATGCCATGGAAAATGTCCATTTTTTGTTTCACATCAACTTTCAGAGACATGTCAGAGATTGAAAATTTGAGTGTTTGGTGAAGAAGAATGGCTGTAAATGCGCTGTTTTGATGCGCTGTAAATATGAATGTTCCCATCATTTCGGAAGGATGTGTCTGTCTGTCTGGGTGAGGGTCGAACTGTGCGAAAACTCGCTGTATGGTTCGTTTTTCCAGGTTTAAGTGACATGGCCACAGAATCGATACGGATCGTGGTAGGTAAGCAATTCCTAAGCTTGACATATTACCACTTCTGTGGGTCAAACCACACTTGTGTGGGTCATGCTGTTGAGTATTGTGGACTATGAACCAGTTGAAATCAAAAATGCTGTTGAGTGAGGAAAAGCGCGCGCCGTCTTTTTAAAATCGGAAATTTCTCTACAAAACTCTAGATTCCAATGGATGAAATCCATCGGCTTGGATCACTGTTCCATAAAATTTCGGCACTTTTGGTTCGGCACGGATCAGATTACTGGATCACTGCCTTCTGGCACGAAGGCACAAGAACCATGCATCCACATGGGCAGCACCATGCCAAGTGCATCCTGGGGGATTCCAATGGGATGTCCCCAAAAAATGACCCAGGACTGATCAAAAGTTACCCCCTACCACTGGGGAGGTGACCAGGTTTGAAGAAGTGATGTCGAAAATATGTTTAATGATGAACCTTCCATGATGTTTAATTAATGTTTTACCACGGAAATTCCAAGTGATGTTTAACCTTATTAATTAACCTTCCATACTCCATACATATATATATACTATGGTGTATATATATATAGGCCCACTGACATAGCGAGCAATTGAGTTTCCAAGCTCTTGTCAAATCTGTTGTCATCCCTATGGAGAAAAACCACGTTTGGTGAGGCCCCCCAGTGATGTTGTTTTATAAACCCTATGAATATTATTAAATACTATAACTATATCCCCCACAAACCATGCCTAAGCCAGTTGTAAGTCAACTAGGATGGCTTTATATTCCGATCCCCCCAACTATCATGACGACCTTGCCGAATACGGTATGGGAACACATTTTTCCATTAAAAAACATTGCTACTTCTCAGGGTCAAACTGTTATTATATCTTCTTATGGGATGGTACACTGCTGACAGTCTTGTTTCTTATCTACGATTGGATGGTTCAATCACCATTCGTTGTGGGTAAATTATGGTAAATCACCATGTTTCATGGGTAAATCACCATTTGTTCTAGGGAAATCATCATGTTTCATGGGTAAATCACCATTTTTTCTTGGGTTAAAATTTCACCAATTCGAAAAAAATCCTGGCCGAGTTTTTGCGGCGAGCTTCCACCACAGCACTTGCCTCGATAGGGGCCCCAGTTGTGGTTTGTGAGGTGAACGAAGCTTGCCATGTTTCTAATAGGAAAATCAGCCACGTATAGATATGGGGGTTTCCTATTAGATACATATATATATATATATATAGTGGCTGATTTTCCTATTAGAAACCATCCATGGTGGCTACTGATAAACCATTCATAGTGGCTACTGTACTGTATATATATATATATATATATATCGGGGGTTCCATAAATGGAGGTACCCAAAATGGATGGTTTATAAGGGAAAGTCCTACTAACATGGATGATTTGGGGGTGCCCCTATTTCAGGAAACCCCCGTATAGTAAACCCCAAAAATATATATATATATATATAAGTAATTCACCACTATTTTAGTAGATTTGTTTTACGTTGTTTTACTTTTCCATCTGTTTGGGGGTTACTATTGGGTATTCTTGTCCCAAAAAAAAAAAATGCATTGGGTCAGTGTCATTCCGGCATCTTTATAGGTATATACCCTCTGGTAATTTAACATAGCTATTGAAAATGACCATTTATAGTGGATTTACCCATTGAAAATGGTGATTTTCCATAGTTATGTTAGTTTACCGGAGGGTACTATAGAATCGTCTTTGAGAAATCGATCTTTTTTGACTACACTCCCATGATAGGCGAGTTTTTTTCACACACTTTCCCTGCAGATGTCCTAATTTCTGTGGCCTAGGAACCACCAATACTCAGCATATCTCAGCCCGCTTGGTCCTAGCTCAATGTCGAGCCCCTCAGCCCAGATACAATCATGAAATACATGAAGGGTCGCAGGTAGGAATCGCAACGTGCATGGAGCGCATAGAAACCTCCGGAAACCAATGGCCAAGCCAGCGAAACAGCCCTTGTAGAGTGGCAATGATTGTTGACGTTTGTGTGGTGAGCGTAGCACCCAAATGGATTCAGAGCTCTCAACTCCAAAATCATGTGGCTTTCCAGGAACTGAGGACTCTTTCCAGGGTGAATCAAATCATACCCGTCCTGATTCATAGCTTGGCGTGGCACATCCAGGCCTGACAAAATGAAGGGCAAGCACAGCAGAGCCAAAAACCTCGGTTTTTTTGACTTGAGTTTCCACTGCCACGGACCAGATTCGTACTGCTTGATAAAGAGTAAATCTGCCCCAATAATTAAACCATCCCATTAAACAACCATGACTCAGGGTCATTTTACATCCAGGAGTAAAACTTAGAGGGCCCGTTCGGACGCCGAGTGGCGCGTTGAAGGTTTGCTTCTCCAAAGTCTGTGTGGACTCGAATCGAGGGTCCTGCACCACCACCTGCCAACTGAGCTCCCAACTGAGCCTTTCCCATCTTTCCCAGCACGACTTTTGTCAAACTTGTGACAAAATGGTTACCCTCCGGTGGTTCCATGGGTTCCATGGCTGGAGGATCCATACCCCACCTCGCCGGCGGTGACCACCAGCATGTAGATGCTACGTGCCTTGGCTGAGGAACTCGTGCGGATCCGTTGTGGGGACAGGTCATCTTCAGGGTGACACATGGCAGGGTGACACCGGTAGAAATGGAGCTTTCCAGTTGTCATGGATGACTTAGCAGCTTAGAAATGGAACCCATGACCTTGGGGATTCCAAGACCAGGAAACCTCCAAATAGATCCAATTAATTAAGGAAGTGCACTTGACTTACAGTTGAACAGCCTAGCTAGGAAAACCACTGTGGAAAAATAATCCATCAATGGCAAATTTCGCTTGCCGGGGGTAGATTACCAACTGACCAGTTGCAAATTGTATGGCTCATAGGCTGATTGTCTCCCGCCATTTACAAGTCAATACATTAACTATAGATATGTGTATATATATACATATGTATATATATATGCATCTATATAAACATATATATATATACATCTACCATAAACCATGGTAAACCAAAGTTGACAAAGGTGAACTCAAGCAACTTATCTCAGAAACTGTAGCGCCACCTTTTTTTGAACTGGGTGAAAAAAATCAACCCACGACTTTCGGAGATGAATCCAATGGTGAATCATAATTTGTTCCCTATTAGAAATATGGTCATTTAGAAGATACCCTCTGGCAATTTAACATAGCTATTGAAAATGGCCATTTATAGTGGATTTTTCCATTAAAGATGGTGATTTTCCATAATTAGTTATGTTAGTTTACCAGAGGGTACCCTCTGGTAAATTGTGAAAAAAAGCTATGGAAGCCATGGCCCAGTGAAATAGTTGATGTGCGTATTGAAAGTGGTGATGTTCAATAGTTATGTGGCTGTTTACCAGTGATGTTTAGATCCCAACCTTTCAAGTCTTCATGATCAAAACATGTTTTTGCTGGCTTTTCCCAGGTGATCGGAACGGAATCTTCTGCGATTCATCACAGCAAGTAGCCAGGTAAGCCAGCAAGATCAGGGCCACGCCAAAGGTCAGGGAACATCCACAGCAGCACTGCGTCAGGGGCTTCACCCCTTGCAGTTCCCGCTGCACCAGATCCATCTTGGGCTTCATGCCCTGGGTGAAAACCCATCAAAAGTCTGGGAAAAGATTGGGGGTAGAGTTACTAAGGGATGCTTGGTTGATGATTGTAGGCGTTATACATGGTTATACTATCCCATATATATATATTATGTGTGGTATGGTCATCCATCCCATACAGTGGGACCTTACAATGGTTTCATAAATCCATCCCATAAATCCATTATGAATGGATTGATGCCCATCCCCCAATATGGGTATGTTACATTAATCCAACTTTTGACCATGGCACATATGGATCATATGGCCAATTACGGCCATAGAAGGAGGCTGCAGTGCCGTTGTGGCACAGTGTGTTTAACTACTTGGTGGCGAACTACCCACGAATCGTAAGCGGCTTATATAACCCGTGATTTACATGGGATAAGTAGGGTTAATCCACTTATAACTGGGGTGAACTAACCCACTTACGATTCGTGGGATGAGCCACCAACTTAGTCACATCCCACCATTTTAGCCCCAAAAAATGGACAGTTCCTGGGCCTGGGAGTGTTGACCCCCCGCCCAAGATCCCTGCGCTGCCTCTACGTTGGGCCACGGGCTTGGTTTCCCCGGGCTTTCCGGGACTTTGAGCCCCAAAAAAGCGGCAGATTCGCTGCAAGCGGAACCCAAAAAGCAGAGACTGTCCTACAGAGATTCCCTGAAATGGATGGTTTTCCCCACAAAGATAACTCGCACTAACTTGACCTATGTATGTTCTACGACGTTTGGCTTGCTCTTTTTGTTTGCTGGCATGTACATAGGCATACGTCATTAAATACGTGTATAATTCCCTTGGGACGCCACGGATTCCATTGTCGCACACAGTGAGATCCAGTGAGTGAGCAAGGACTCAATCCAAGAGAATCGAAAAAAAAAATGAAACTTCTGGTGCAGGATGGTGCCCCCCAGTGATGTGAATGTTGGTTTATAAACCCCATGAATACTATAGTTATATCTGCCATAAACCATAGTTATTGGAGTTATAAACCAACTTAGCTAACTATGGGGCACCACCTTGTGCAAGTGCTTGTGAATCGTCCACCACACATTCTCCACGATTGGTGAATTCCAGCCCTCACCTGCGCCAAAATCGTTTCATTTCCTGGATGATTTTACATGATCTTGCTATATACCCTCTGGTAAACTAACATAGCTACGGAAAACCACCATTTTTTATGGGTAAATCAACTATAACTGGGCCATTTTCAAGTTCGCTATACTGACATAACCAGAGGGTAATTATAAAAGATACTACCCTCTGGTAAATTAACATAGACCCTGGCAGATAGGGGTTGGAAGATTAGTTTCCATTAAAAATTGGTGATTTTCAGGGTCCCCGGGTAAAAGTGATCCAAAAACACTAAGTCCCTCAGTCTGATTTTCCTCACCATCCTTCGGGCTCCCCACGTCTCATTCCGGCAGTGCGCAGACAGGCCGAAACACGAGGGCGGGGCCATCAAGGCGCTCGGCACGGCCTAGCGCTTGGGACGTGGCCATCATTGGGTGGCTTGATTTTGAACACCCAATATTCTCTGGTTAATAATGGTTAATGATGGTGAATAATAATATCTGGTTGGTGGTTGAGCCCTACCCCTCTGAAAAATATGACGAATCGTCAGTTGGGATGATGACATTCCCAATCTATTACAGTATGGAAAAATAAAAAATGTTCCAAACCACCAACCAGATTCAGTTGATCAGGATCTTTCATTTTGATGATCTTGAAAATCTTTGAAAGAAAATATGTTTTTGACGGGAAACCAGAATTGTCTCCTGCAAATGTTCCCCTCAAGTCTGGGAATTGATTCAAGTGATGAAAACATGTGCTTCGGGATTACCATACAGAAAACCAGCCGGAAAGCTTGTCTTTGGAGAATGAATTGACGGGAATTCCCATCAATTGATTCTTGGGACAACCGCTGAAGACGCTTATCCCGGAAAAAATCAGCACCGGTCGCACTTTTTGAAACGCCGGTGGAAATATCAAAGTGCCAACTGGCGATTTTTTTTGAAACCATATACCCTCTGGTAATTTGTGACACAGCTATAGATTACTTTAGATGGCCCATTAATAGATCGTTTGAGATCGTTTGCCTGTTGAACACGATGATGTTCTATAGTGATCTATAGTGAATGTTAAATTACCAGAGGCTACTTTTGAAAACGCTGAAACTTCAAAAGCAGCAGTTAAACATGAAACGCCAGGAAACACACAGTACCCTGGCTGAAGATCTTCGATCTTTACAAAATCTCGCGCGGAGTGTGCTTGCAGAGAAAGCCCGTGATGTACCTCTGAAGCCATCTGAAGCCATCTGAAGCCATGCAGCCGGATCAGTTAAGCAGGCTGGAAAAATCATGGCATGTCACAGCTGGAAATGGCATGACGATCTTTTTAGTCACGGATAAACTACTTCTGACTCCGAGTGGAAGATATCGTTCCTGGACTACATTGGATTGATCTATGATTATATAAGGAATTTAAGGGAACATCAACAGGAAACCCCTATCAGTGGTGGTCAAAACCATGGCTTCCTGTAGATATTCCCTTTAACCAATCCATTGACGAAGGGGTTTGCTATTCATCGGACCAAATTTTGCCATTAAAGAGTTTCGAAGAGCAGAGGACGTCCATGACACTTTCAAAGAAAATCCTCAAGACTCTCTCAATATTCTGGTTTGATACAGGTCAGAAACTCACAGATGTTGGAAATCATGCAATTTGAATTGCCCCCTCTTTTTATTTGTCACATTGGCTGAACCCCTCCTCATCTCCTAAAAAGTTGGGTGGACTATGCCCTAACTGCATGATTTTTTCCACGTGCTAGGTTTACAAGTTTCATCCCCAAGTTTGCTGGCTAATCATGGTAATGGTTGTATCAAGTTGTATCACACTGGGTCCCTATGGATCTTTACTAAAAACATCAATTTTTTCCTTGGTGAAGAAAAAACACCATTCTCATCTTACATGAATATCTCCCAGTAGTCATAGATTTATACAGTACCCACATCATTTTCCATGTCATTTTCCATGTCATTTTCCATGTCTAAACATGTCTAAACACTCAGCCATTCCTCCCATAGTACCATAGCTTTCCCCCAGGTCACTCCATGGCGCGTGCCACCTCAACCTGGGTGTTGCCGTCCTTCAAATCGCCACGCGTTACAAAGCCGTGGCTCATGCTGCCGAACTCCTGACCACGACCATTTTGGCGGTCGCACCTGGGGCCCTGAAGTTGACATGTAAAAAAACAATGGCAAAAATGAGTTGGGACCGTCTTGGACCTATGGAAAAAATCAGTGATTGATCGTTATGTCATGTGATTTCTGCTTGAAATCCTGACTTCTGCCTATAAAAAACCATCGTTAACCCAGAAATGGGAGACTTCAAAATCTTAGAAAACCTCGAAAAATCAGTGACAAAAATATGGAAGCCTTTGCCCATCTGGAATATCCTGGACTTGGGTACCGGAAAGAATGATTTGAGCTACAAAAATGAGATCACTGACAAAAAGAGGAGGATGGCAACCCAAAAAAAAACAGATGGAAGGAATAACAGTCAATAGCAGAGCCAAAGAAGTTGCCTATCCACGGCCGGTGGCGCTTGAACCAATCGTCCTTGAAGACATGACCTGCGGAGTTCTTGTTGAAGACTTCTTCAGCCTTTCCCCCAGGCTTCCAATCTCCAGGTTCATCCTGTGGGCAGTGCCATGGGTCGCCGGATGTCTGGATCATTTTCCCCATGAACATGTCCATATTTGTTGCTCGGACGGGTTTCATGCATTTTCTTTGACGAGGCTAGCGGCTAGTCGAATCCCCCAAAAACTTTGGAAGGATTTCTAAATTCCCCTTTTTTTGTTTGAAACAATTTGAATCACCTGTAGTTGAATCCCCTATTTTTGTTTGGTAGTTGAATACCCCCAAAAGTTTCACTACCAAAGGCTAGTTATCCTCCAAAGCATCGATGGACCCTGGAGCCCCCAGCCTTGCTGGACAGCACCAGCTGGGGCACCTTGACCTTTCTCAGCAGCTCCTCCTGCCGTTCCGAGCATAGGCGGCGAAGCCCAAGCATCTCAGAAAGAAATGTACTGTTACTAGGGATATATAACGCTTAAATATGTTATAATATGTTCATATCTTGTACAACACTTGGGAAAACAGTCTGAGTAAGGGAAAAGGGCCATAACTAATTGGTAAAACACCGCTTCCTGAGACGTGAATATAGCCAGTGAGACAGATTTGAGGAGCGCAGAGGTATTGCGGTATTGCAGATTCTCCCACTGGAACGTGCTCTGTTGAATCTCAAGTCTGACTCTGCCAACAAGCCAACAAGACAAAAATTCTGGGGTAAGAAGCCTGCCATTGTTGAAACCAAATGAAACTTTGGTGAAACCAATCGAAAAAATAACATCAGTCCCAATCCAGATGGCGGTTTCATAAGAAAATGAATCCTACACTTCCAGTCTCCCAGCTGGAAACCGACTGTTCAAGCAGCGCCCCCGAGTTTGAGAAAGCCAAGGCTCAAAGATGGAATAACATGGAAGAACGAGTCCGGTGGTCTATCGCTGATCCCAAAACATCGCAAAACACCACGTCTGACATCAAAATATCGCAGAAATCGTGGATGTTGGTTGGCGTACCCTCTGGTAAACTAACATAGCTATTGAAAATGGCCATTTATAGTGGATTTTCCCATTAAAAATTGTGATTTTCCATAGCTATGTTAAATTACCAGAGGGTAACTTCACCGCTTTTTAGGGACCACAGCCAGGCCAGACTCCTGGTCTTCACCCCAGCGCATGGCCATAGTGTGCACGCTTGGATGCCTGGGAAACCGGCCAGTGGCAAGTTCCGACATTCACGGGACCCCGAGACCGACATCCCAACTCCTCCAGAATCGGTCCCTAAGCCTTCCAATTTGATCCGGACTCATGTAGCTTGAGATATCCTGAGATTTTGGAATTTGCTGATTTCCTTGGGCAGAATTCTGGTTGAAGGACCAAGATATCTGCACATCTGCGTCATGTGGAGGCCGTCGAATCCTCATGATTGTCTGAGTGTTGATGACCTCCCAAAAAATCAATGCTACCCTCTGGTTATTTAACATAGCCATGGAAAATGGCCCATTTATAGATGGCTTACCTATTAAAATGGTGATTTTCCATGGCTACGTTAAATAACCAGAGGGTAAATATCCAGAAATGGGTGGAACAAAGAGGAGAAGACCACCTGTTTCCCATGGGAAGTCTCTTTTGTACAATGCATTTCTGTTGGGATTAAGTTTTTCCAAAATTCAATAAATCCCCAATGTCAACCCTGGATGAATAAACCCTGGTTCATTAGGGGGGTGCCCCCCAAATGGTAATAATCTGCTCATTTTAATGGTACCATCCAATGATCGACAGCCTACAGCTTTATAAATCATCAGTAATGATCATCAATCATCATTAATCATCATAAGTCATCAATACTTTATGCTATGTTAACCATCCCCTATGGCCCTATGTTTCATCATCAGAATAAAAAATTGTTTCATCATCAATCATCATCAATCACTTCATTAATCATCATTAATCATCAGCCATTAATTCATCAACCTCCCTCTATGTTTCATGGCTCAGTGCCATGGCTCATTTTCGTAGATTGTCATGATCCCATTGGATCTGATGAAAATATCAAAATCCTATTGAATCCCATGGTAAATCCCATGGTACATCCCGGTAAATATCATGAAAACACCATTACTGGTTGGTGGTGCAATAACCATCTTGAAAAATGTGAAAGTCGACGAGAAGGATGACATCCCATATATGACATGGAAAACAAAAAATGTTTGAAACCACCGACCAGATTATATAAATGTCATTAAATCTCATTAAATCTCATCAAAGCACTATTAAATCGCATTCAATTTCATCAGAACACCATCAAAACCCACTAAAACACAATCAAAACACCATTGATTCCCATAAAAACCACTAAAACCGATTAAAATATTATTCAATCCCACTAAAACCCATTAAAACAATCCCACTAAAACCCATTAAAATACCATTTACCATTCATAATGGCTCAGCATCCACCATTCCCTCCGGTCGAGCTACGCCATCGCTGCACAGCAGAAGTCGGGCCAAGCGCTGCAGGCGTGGCACACGAGCCAGGCACCCCAGCAGAAGCCCAGCAGGGCACAACGCTCCAAGGGGCAGCCTGCAGACGCGATATGTTGCAAATGATTCACTTCTATTAGCCATCATCTACTGATATACTGGTTGGTGGTTGACCTATATACCCTCTGAAAAATATGAGTTCGTCAGTTGGGATGATGACATTCCCAATATATCCCAATATATGGAAAAATAAATTTCATGTTCCAAACCACCAACCAGTATATTAATAGAATATCGATGATGGTCATTATATGTTATCGATAATAATCATTTATGAATATCTTCACATATGTTCGTATATCTCCAATATTAACATATTAGTTGATGATGATTAATATTTACAGTGTTCCAATTTTTGGGAACATATATGGAGGTTTTCCATAGTCACGGGGGTACCCCAATAGCTGGTTGGTTTGTAATGGAAAATCCGAAAATAAAATGGATGATTTCGAGTGGTACTTTGATGGATTGGAAACCTTCATATGTATAATGTGGGGATATGATAATTAAATAAATATAATGATCAAGAAGAAATAATTACAATAACAATCATTATATTAATTATAACAATAATGAAAAATAGTAAAAATATGTAATAATATAATCAAAAAAATCTAATCATACTGAATATGTCCTGGAATGTCCTCATATTCTAATACTATTATATTACATATCATTACTATATGTTCTAATAGTATGACAATGTAAAACTGAATATATCCTGGATACCCTCTGGATATTTTTTCATTTAGCGGAAAATAACAAGTTCTTATTTCAGATTTCATCTATGGCTATGATCCATTTGCCATGGCTGCCATGGCTATGCTAAATTATCGGTATATCATGAAGTATCATTTCGATATATCATGGGCGAATGGGGGTGTACTGGGATGGGGATGGGATAGTTAAGTTGGCAGATGTTCAAGCGGGTATGGGTCAAGAATACCCACGGGACTATCCCTTTTGGGGAAAAAAATCCGAATTCCGACCTATACCCTGGCAATATCATTGGGTAAAGTGGGAAATGTTGCAGGAAATCATTGAATCGCGATTCTTTCAAGTTTGATCAGATGTACTGTCATATGGATTTGTCTAAAAAAATGGGGTATACCCACATTTTTATGGCTGTGTTTATAGGGAAACTCATGATACACCATCAAAGTCGGGAGACCTTATTTTCAGACAAACCCATATCACAAATGGGGTACGACCAAGTAGCTGCGTGGGATATGACAGGGTGAAATATCGCCATGAAAAAAAACAGGGGGGTACAACTACCAGAGCGACGAGAAACAGTATTTTATTCATAGGAATTGCGATGCAGCTGCCATAACCGCCACAAACAGACAATGGGATGACATGTATCACAAGCATATAACGATATTGTTTTCAGTAACAGAAAGGGGTGGTGGTCATACAAACAGGACATGACAAGCACAAATATATAGAGGATACTAGGAGCAAAGTTGGCATTCAACTGATACAAAATGGGGAAGCCACTAGTCAAGTGGGTTTTTTTGTGATTCATAGGCACTGCAGCTGGAGTTTTTCATAAGGTCATGACTAGGCCGACATTTCAGCGCTTCTGCGGATGACTGTAGAGGAATACTTGGAGCGCCCATAGATTTGGGGACACCCTCTGGTAATTCAACATAACGAACTGGAAAATCATCATAGAAAGTTCGTGGATTTTCCCATGAATAGCATGGTGATGGTGGATCTTTCCATCGTTTTTTCGATGTTTACCAGGCCGGCTAAGTCAAGCACCAATCAGATCGGCCATGGCCACTCGCTGTAAATCTGGGAGCTTCCCATAACTGTGGAAAGATCCACCATGCGAAAATGTCATGGGTAAATCAACGAACTCAATGGTCATTTTCCTATATACCCTCTGGTAAACTAACATAGCTATGGAAAACCACCATTTTTTATGGGTAAGTCAACGAACAAAAAAACTGGGCCATGTTCAAGTTCGCTATTTTGACATAACCAGAGGGTATCCCAATAATATGCTGGTTGCTGGTTGGTGGTTGAGCCCTACCCCTCTGAAAAATATGACTGAAAGTCAGTTGGGATGATTATTCTCAACTGAATGGAAAAATGAATAATGTTCCAAACCACCAACCACTGTAGTTTATTGATTACCTCTATTCTGCATCCCCCTTTGTGAACAGGAACTAGTTTTAGCTTAGTCGCACCTAGAGCGAAGGAATCCGAGTTAGGGTCCATAGGCGAAACCAATGCTCAGGTCCCAAAGTGGGACACACCAATGCGTTGTTGGCCACCAAATGTCATGTTATTTGGTACTAGATTCCCTGTTATGGCATGGCTTCACTTCCCCCACGATGCACCTTGCTGTTCCAAATAAGGCAGCACCGCCTCTGCCACAAGGGGTTGGGGGCTGGAGTGATTCGATTTTTCGGAGCAATGCCGAATAAAAATTAGCCATGCTCGCACATTCGTAGCAAAGAAACTTACCTTCCCCCCATTTGCTGAAATTCAAAGTTCTTAGATCACTTTGCTTTGAAGGGTTTTGAAAAAAGAAACAGCCATTTCGGTGGAAAAAAATTGTCACCTACTTGGTGGGAACTCCCAGAAAAGTGCCGGAGTGACCACTCAACAGATGTGTCTGAAAATGAGGGAATTCCCAGAAAATTCCGTTTTTACCGGAGTGTAGGCTTTGTCCAGAAAAAATCCTACCCTCTGGTAAACGTTTACAGTTTGCGAACTTGAAAATGGCCCAGTCGACAGTTCGTTGATTTACATCTTAAATATGGTAGTTGTCCATAGTTATGTGAGTTTACCAGAGGGTAATCTTGGAGATCTGATAGGCGAACTATCTTTTCAAAACTATGAATCGAATGAAGGGAGAATTTTCGAGATCTAAGTTCATTGAACCTATAAACCAACAATAGGTGATTTACCCTCTGGTAATTTGTTACATAGCTATTGAAAATCGCCATTTATAGTGGGTTTTCCCATTAAACATGGTGATTTTCCATATAAATCACCATTTTCCCATGGTTTTCCAAGGGGCTACGTTCCGCCGTCGCGCCGTGGCCTGCGACAGGTCGCGTTCCACTCGACTCCAGGGGGTGTTCAACGGCGTCCACAGGCTGAGTGCCTGCTGCAAGTTCTGCAGGAATCCTCCAGAGCGCTCCTTTGGCCTTGGCGGAAGGGCTTCAAGCAAGCAGCGCAAGGAAAAATCGTGGATCTTCTATATATATAATATAATGTATATATATAATGTAACATATGTATATATATATATACATACATAACGTTATACATATATATATATACATATAACATATATATGTATGTTATACATATAATATATATAATACATATATATATACAACGCATATATATATAACACACATATATATATAACATATATATATATAACATATATATATATAACATATATATATATAACATATATATATATATATAACATATTTATATATAAGATATGAAAGGAGGTCCCAATCGGAAAATCATGGCTCAATGGGGCGGAAAGTGCCACAGGATACAGTAGCCAGCCCATAGGAGAACCTTGATCATGCATTTCTCGCCACAGCACGCCCCGTGGAAGAAGTCGGGCAAAATCACCAGGAAGCCCTCGAGAAAAGGCGGATGAGGAAGGTTTGTTGGGGGATCTTGGTACCCGGCCGCAGAGTGAACCACTATGGACTACCGAAGTGCCATGACCAGCACTGAAGTCTTTGTGATTGGCCAAAATTGGCCATTTTGTGGCTCTGAAATCAGGATGCTGTCTCCGTGGTTCACAATTCCAATGCGGTTTTACAATCAACCTCAACGTCATCCCCGCATCGTCCCCACATCGTCATCATAGCACGGGCCATGGCGGAGGGGCGATCTCTTTACCCACACTCCGATTTCTTTTTACATAGATGTTGGTTAAGTGCCTGTATGATGCTGTATGTATGTTTGTGTGTAATGTAATGTAATCTAATGTAATGTAATGTAATATAATATACTGTCATGTCATGTCATGTCATGTTATGTTATGTTATGTTATGTTTATGATATATGTGTATATATATATGATATGTGTATATATATATATATATCATTGTGTACTGCAACTTATACACACATTAAATAAACCAGAGCGCCCCTCCCAGCCCCATCCTCACCTCATCGGCCAAGACATCACAGATCTCTTTGTGTCTCCCCTGATGAATTCCAAAGATGTCACCGGCCACCAACACTGCGCGCTTGTTCCCTGGCCATTTCTTTGGTCCAACGATGGGGCCCCAAAAAAAGATAGCTAAGCTGGTTTATAAGTGGCTGAATTCAATGGTTTATGGTAGATATAACCATAGTTACTGGGGATTATAACTATATACCATCAATCTATGGCCATGGAAAATCACAATATCCCATTGTGAAATCCCATTGTGAAATCCCATTATATATAACCACCATAAATCACCATGACTGATGTTACCATCTGCTTATGACTAACAGTCAGCCATGGAAAGATTCACCAGTAAAATAATAGGTAAACCATCTATGAATCTATGGGCCATCGAAAAACCATGGCGAACTGTTAGTCATAACCAGATTAGAAGTTGGTGAAATCCTACTCAAATAGGGATGAAATACTCTTCTCGTTTTGGGGGTTACTACACTGACCGCACTGCAATTCTTAGATTATCCATGGCTAACGTAGTATCGATTGGTTTAGAGAAGGATGTGTTTCTATCTATTTCTATCTTTTACCGGTGTCATCACAAACAGACCTCTCGGGAGAAATTGAAATATCGCAACATTTGAAAAAAAAAATGAAATATCGCACAAGGTGGTGCCCCATAGTTAGCTAAGTTGGTTTATAACTCCCATTTCACTATGGTTTATGGCAGATATAACTATAGTTTTCATGGGGTTTATAAACCAACAAACATCACTGGGGGGTACCATCCTGCAACATCTATCATTAGTATTCATTATAGTCATGTCCTGAAGTTTGCAGACATTTCAACGTTGAAAAGTTCGCGAAGCAAGGAATTCCAAGGACTTGTTTTGAACGTTGCGACTCGGGACCGGTCAAGTCTTGTGGGTATGCTGAAACCGGTGCTATATGCCTTGGTTGCCCAAGTTGCATGGGTTCCACGTCATGCCACGTCAGGAATTCGCCAGCCAAATAATGGGGGGAAGTAATGGTCAAATAGATGTGTATAAACTTATGAAAAATCTATTCATGTAGGTTCTGAGAATAGTGCAGCCCCAAAAAATTGATGGTTGATCACCAAGTTTCCTCCAAAATTGCCACAGGATGATGCCCCCCAGTGATGTTTGTTGGTTTATAAAGCCCATGAATACTATAGTTATATCTGCCATAAACCATAGTGAAATGGGAGTTATAAACCAACTTAGCTAACTATGGGGCACCACCTTGCAGGGTGTCCCTGATTTTTGTTGACAAACCAGCATGGAGATGTTGGCACCTTTTCCCACCACATAGGCATCCAATCCTGGCAGGTGAGGTATCCCATTTTTATGTTTGAAAAGGTGCGTATGCCCAACAGCTCTGATAAGTATCTCCCTTAAAGCAAATGTTATCCAAACTACAACTCAACTTACCCTCCGGTAAACTAACATAACTATGGAAAATCACCATTTTTGATGGGAAATCCACTATAAATAGGTAATTTTCAATAGCTATGTTAGTTTACCAGAGGGTAGTCAACTTAGCGATTTCCTCCGGCCGGGGGCCTCACTTAAAAAAAGGGCAAAAAATGGGGACCCGCTTCCTGACCATACACTTTTTTGGGTCACAAAAAAAAGTGTAACCCCGAGCTGTACCCACATGGGTATGGATCAATACCTACTAATACCATTTTTAGGGGGTTATTCACATCCATAAATCCCAGCGATTTTGATGTGAACAGAGGGTACTATTGGTTTTGACACACTGCCAGTTGATTTACACAAACATGACCAACATGGTTTTTTTTCATGTTGATGATATATTTGATTATACCATGAGTTCATCAACAAACATATATGCTATAATCAAATACCACATGTTGCTGAGGCACATCCCATATTATCTTATTTCATGTGGCCACCCAGAAATTGTAGCTAAGTCCCGCACCTCCCATGAAAATAGATTCGTCTTTGATTGGTGAAAAATCACGTTAAGTTCATGAAATATTGTTGGTTTATAGGTTCAATAAACTTAGATCTCCAGAAAATCAGTAGATTAATAGTTTTGAAAAAACATAGTTCGTTTATCATATCTCCAAAATTGCCCTCTGGTAAACCAACATAACTATGGAAAATCACAATGTTTAATGCATAGATCAATGAACTAAATGGTCATTTTCAATAGCAAACTTTTAGTTTACCAGAGGGTATATCATGAGATCTCCAAAACTTTTGCGTTTACCAGATGATACACTGATCTTTTACTTTTAAGTTTTAGTTTACCAGAGTGTATTAATCAGATCTACCACTGATGGTTTAGTTTACCAGAGGGTACCCTCTGGTAAACTAACATAGCTGTGGAAAATAGCCCATTTGTAGATGGTTTACCGAACTTTAAAATGGTGATTTTCCATAGCTTTTTGTATGTTAACCAGGCCGGGTATACCACTGATTTTATGTGTCCCATCGTCACACTCCCAGCACACCGCGACCTCCAGGCAGTGTCTCCACATCACCCCGCAGCGAAGATTCCGCTCGGCGACAGGTAGTGGCACCCAAGGCACCAGGAGGGCAGCACTTGGGCCTTGGGATGCCAGTTGAAGCTGTTTTTTTTAAGGATATCATGCCAAGTTTTTTTGGTGAGCTTCTAAAGTCCATTAAGAAAAAAAATGAAAAGTCGGCCATAAGTTATAGTTAATCAAGTTAGAAGTCGAAATAATGTGATAGACCATGATAGACCCGATACATGGTAGAGTCTTAATGGGATAATAGTGATATAAAATCATCGAAATTGGACCCCTTGGACCCTAGAAATGGGATGTTCATGGGATACGACGCGCCGGACCAGATTATAGATGGTCAATTGGTCAGCTTTCTGCCATCCATAGGAAATAGTTGATGGAAATAGATTCGAATCATAATTGGTTTTTCTACATCTTGTACATACATCTTGGATATTGTTCTCCGTTTCTATTAAGTTGATATGCAAACCAAATCATATGCTTCTTGTATCTTCTGATGAGGTTGACCCCCTATGGTTTTTCCATGACTGGAATGGATTTTGATCATTC